ACATTTCAAGTTTCTTATGTATCCTTCTTTTGATAGTGTCAACGATTAATTTGAGTGGATATCCATTCTGTAATAAAATTTTTATGATTTTATCTATATTAAATTGATGAAACATAGGGTGTGACAAATGTAATACTCTATCTGTTAAGCCAATGATAACTCCTAATTTGTGTGTGAAGTGGTGTTGTGAAAAATAATTTAAGAATCTTCCTGATGATGTTGGCTTCTGGTACCAGTCATAAATGATAGAATTATTCTGTTTTATTAATGTTACATCAAGGAAATTGAGTCTGTTTTTTCCTTCTTCCAATGTAAATTGGAGTCTAGGATGATAATTATTAATTTTATTCAATAGTATATATTAACACATTTTAGTTTCAAAAAATTTTAAACTTTGTAAAAACCTTATTCATACATTGATCAACAACTTTCTCACTGGAAGTTTCCTATAACTTGAATTTTGTAACACACTTTTCCTAGATAAAGCCCAGAAACCGCAAATTTCGAGCGCATTAAATTTAGGTCGATTTTATTAATTAATATTAACAATTCATTAGACATTTTAGAAATTTCAATTTGCCTATCTGTTTCGCTACTATCTTGTAAATATATCCTGAAAATTTCAGAATTTTTCATGCATTTTTCACCGAGAAACAGCGAGTTTAAGTCAAAACTAACTAACTCAAATACACAAAGTCGCGAGCACATAACACAAAAATTATAAAAATAAAAAAAAATAAAAACATAGAAATAAATAACAAAAAAAATAATAAGGTTACAAAAAAAAAAACATGGAGCCAGAACCCATCACTTCCTCGTCGTTGGCTCTGGGTCGCGCTAAGTGTGGGTAATATTTTATGTGCCATGTGCGTAATTAATAGTTAATAATTATAACAAATTTAAAGCTACAGCTCCTCCCGAAACTTTTTCCTGGCTACACCACTGCTCCATCTGCTTTGAATCTTCTTTCTAATGCGACTAGTCTCTTCTTAGCTTGCTCCTTTGATTCTCCTAAGCTGATGCTCGATTTCTTAGGCAGGCTTACTGCGAATCTGCCTGATGCTGTTCTTGTTACTGATTCACAAAATGCTCTTCACATTCTTTCTCTTCGTTTGTTAACTGTCTCGTTTCTGATATTTCTTCCAACTTCCAAAATCGTTCTAGTTGCTCCTTCAGAGCAATATCTGTTAATACTCCACATACTTCAGTACTCTTAAGGCGCGTCTACAATAGGGTTCGTAAGCTTAACATAAACGTAAACATAAGAAATCCGCATTATCTACAATAGCAGCCCATAAACGTAACGTAACATAATAAATCGTAAACTCGTATTTGAGTATTCTAACCTCTGTACTACATAAGTTTTTATAGGAATTTCAGAATTATATAATAATGGATATTTATCGAGTTAAAATAATTAGTTTTGTAACTATTCAACTAGCTACTATTGTTATGCAGTTATTACAAAGAAAAAAGAAAAAGACTGCTAAACGAAAATATTGGATTCGACCACTATTATTGCAGCGGAAACATAATAGTCATTTTCATACTCTTTTTTAATTTATTAAAAACCATGATGATGAGCAATTTTTCAAATTTACTTGAATGACTGTTTCACAATTTGAAAGACTACTTGAATTAGTACAAGAGCCTCTGACAAAAAAAAGTCTTCGTGAGCCTCTCTCGCCGGCACATCGATTATGTTTTATTTTATAGTAAGTATGTTTTGTAATATTTTCAATAATTTGTTATGTTTCTTGAATTATAATACGAATATTTTATTTTATATAGTTATGTAGCTCATGGTTTCTCTATGCAAACTATTGCATGAAACTTTTATAAACCGGAGTCAAAGGCGTAAAAGTTCAAATAAACCAACTTTTACGTTTACGCTTATGTTAAGCTTACGGACCCTATTGTAGACGCGCCTTTAGGCTGGAGTCAAAGTTATGTACAGGGAATGGAAGTAACTCGTTACTTGTAACGAAGTTACAGTTACAAGTTACTTTTTTGGTAACTTTACTGGTAACTGCGTTACTTTCTTTTTTTGGTAACTGTAACGGTAACGAGTTACATTTTTTGGGTAACGGTAACGAAATTTACAGTTACTTTTGTCGTTACTTTGCACACGATTGAACACGGTTCGATTGGATACATGCTATTTATAGCGCTTATCAATAAGACTTGAAAGCCCTTAGACATTCGGCCGTTATGATTCAGTAATTATTTTACACTTCTATCTTCTATGTAATACATAGGACATACAAATATTTCAGTTTGCTGCATATTTTACAGGTTTTAGAATTACAAAATTGTGTTTAAAAAAAATTAAAAAATAAATTAAATAATAGTAAAATGAGAAGGGCTACGAACCCAAAAACGAAACAGTTTAAAAGACGATGACAATAAGTGTCGAAACGTCGTTTGTTTTTATCTTGTTTTATCCATGTTGTTGTTCTAATATATATTTATACATTTAATTACATTGTCATCGTCGTTCTTATCGGAAATAAACTGTTTCATTTTTGGCTCGTAACCCTTCTCATTTTACTTTTATTTAATTTATTATTTGAGCCATTCTACATTGTTTTTTTTTTTTTAATAAAACTATATATATATTTGTCACTATTACATATAAAAAAAAATGCAAAAGTACATTTTTAAATTGATTTTAAAAAAGTAACGGAAAAGTAACGAAAAGTTATTTTTCAAGTAACGGTAAC